CTCTTTGAATTGATTGCTTCTAGTGACTGTTCTTGCGCGATTTTATTTCCGATTCTCGTCACTTCTTGCTTTCGATCTCGCTTCGTTCTTATACCATTCGAAGCTACCGTGACCATATTGCGCGTTCGTGAAGCAGGATTCGAGTTTTTGACTCGCGATGATCCCGTCGACATCTTGACAGCCGCCGAAATCGCTTCCGAAACCAGGGAAAATCTCGACCCGTTATATATATATACATATAGAATCTAGTATATAAATGAAAAAGAGAGAGAGGCAGGAGAAATCCGACAGAAACACCGTGATTATAAGGGCGACGATAATTAACGATTAATTAATAAATTGATTAAAAACAAGAAAGAGTATGTATGTATATGCATGTGTGTGTATGTGTGTGTGTGTGTGTGTTGTGTGTGTGTGTATGTGAAGTATGGGTGCATGTGCGCGTGTGATATAAATGATAATCCTTTTTCTTAGCGCGATAAAGGGGACGATTAATATGAAACAAAAATGGAATATTTTGAACGACGAAGCGGAACTTGGGTGGGCAAAGGGTGGGTGGAACGGGACGCGGGAGAGAGGTGAAGAAATTGAGGAAAAGAAACAAAATAATAATGTCCATGTTGCTAAACTTACAATTAGCGATGAGGTAGATATCGCGCATAGGCGACGTCTTAGTTTATAAAAGTAAATTAGTCCTTAGGACACAAGTGAAAGTGAGAGAGCGAGAGTAATTTGGAGAGAAAGAGTGAGACAGAAAGAGAGAGAGAGAGAGAGAGAGAGAGAGAGAGAGAACATTCGAGAGAGAGAGAAAGAAACGAGAGGAGAACATACAAACACAGAACAGAGATACACACAGAACAGAGTAGCGTTCTACGTTATCACTTAGGCTATGTCTCTAGATAATTATCGAGCCCGTTCTTTCGTACGTAGAAAAACGTAGCGCCGGAAGTGACGGCGGTGGGATACCGTCGCGAGTCCGGCGAGTTCCGGTGTCGCCCGTATAGAGAGAAGGAGCACTCTTCCTCCAAAGAGCGATCCTTCCGTTTCGCGCGTACGAAATGCAAGAGATCGGAAATCGATCGGTGTATGTACGCTTCGACGAGCATTGATTTTTCGACGCCACGTGGGACGAGAAATTTTTCAGCTTCTTTCTGTTAATCTACGGAAAATTTTCATTGTATTAAAATATCAATACGCGTGTCGAGTTATTTTATAATTTTTGTCTCACTGGCATCGGAGCTCCACAAGCGAGTAGTTAGTCGATTATTTTGGCCGAAACGATCCAAGACGCCTGACCGATCGATGCTCCCGATGATTTTCCCCTAGCCAATAGGGAGGAGAACCAATCGCCCGAGCAATAATGTACTTCTTCCGATCTATGTGACTCTTTTGGAGTCCCCTATTCGACTCCGGCCTCGTCCTCGGCGAAGATCGACGTCGGCAGGGCCGACCTACGAGAATTAGATCGAAACGATCGATATCTTGAAATCCCGATGTTGATGTGTTCGCCCGTTTCCTCGCTGACGATCTTCTTATCGGGACATCGAAGATCCGGCAGGCATCGGATTCGTTCTTGGACACTTTATGAGGTCTCATGTATTTCCGCGAGAGTTTTACTCTCCCCTGGATTGAGATATCTTACTTCTTCGACAGGGGTTTTTATTCTCCTCGATTTTAATTTTTGACACAATGAAGCTCTCTTATCTAGAGAATTTAAGTGAACTTTTTAACGAGTGTTCGATTATTGAGCGACTCTCGGCAGAATAATTTTCTGACATGACAAGTCCAAGAGAGAGAGAGAGAGAGAATGTCACCGGAAAATTGTATTCTCGTGATAAAACTCTCCAAAATACATTGGCCTCGTATAGGAATAATGGAAAATTAAAGCGGAAAGAAGAAAAGGATAACGGAAATAAGGCGAGTTTTTTTTTCTAGAAACACTAACACACAGGTACACACAGCATAGACACAGACACACATACAGTAGTCACGTGTGTGAAGCGTAAACTTAAATTATTATAAATACTAATACTAATTAATATTATTGAATATATACCTCTTCTGTATATACAATTAAGCAGCAACAATAATAATGATTAATAATTGATGATCGTGAACGATAGACGAACGGCAGAACGGGGCAAACACAATAAATTACGCATTGTTTCTAGAGCAAAAGGAGGGGGAAAAAAAGGAGGAGAGCAGTGATGAACGATTATTAAGTTGTGAATATTAATAAGTGATTGTAATTATATACTTATACTCGCGGCGATACGATGATGTAATTGTATGGATCCACACACCACACGGTATAAATATTATAAATACATTATAGTGAAACGACGACGGTGACGATGATGAGTGGAGACAATGGTGATTTTTATTATATTACTATTATTATTATTAATATTATTAATTAATAATTATTACCATTATTATTGCGATCATTGCTATTATGGTTGTATTATATTGTACCGAGGAATATATACTTGAGACAAGAATGATGAGAGTCCAATTAGACGTGAGTGAGTGCAACAATATCGAGTAAACGAGGAATAAATCCAATCAGGGGCGTCGTGTCATTGTACTTAATTATAACCATCTACATACGGACCAGGCACTGTGTGCACAGTCGAGCCTCGTCGGAGATATTCCACCGTGTTTCTTACTTTCCATTTCCATTGGCACCGTTCATGCGTCGCGCGGTGAACGGATTCTCCAGAACGGCGTTTTCTTTTTGGTCCCCGCTGCTTCGAGGGAGTAAATCGAGAAAATAAATTTCGGCAGCCAGAAACCGTGGAAACCTTTACAGGCGCGACGACGAAGTTCGCGAGTGTCTAACGACTAGAAACATTCGAGAGGGCATCAATAGTGTTTTCTTTTTCTTGTTTTCTTTTTTTTGTTGCGACAAGCAGTAAAGTTATCGCCACGAAACTTTTGATCAAGATACGGAAAAAAGTACCGAGATGCAATTTAGTATCGACTTTTGCATTTTATGAAGGTATCAGGCGTATTTTTACGATATCTTCTTTTTGAATTCCGACCATCCGATTGTTTTCAGTATCGAAATAATCTGGAGCATTGAAATAATTCTTGATAACGGTACGACAGGATTTTTTTTGTTGGCGAGTTTATTGTTGCACGTCGTTAGCCTGTTGCGGATATTGCCAATGTGTCAAGTCGCGTCACGTCGACCGGTCGACAATAGCCCTTTTGTTTCCGTTTTGAATTTTTTTTTAAGGATATACATACATGCATACACACAATGCCCGTCAGGAGCGATTTTGCGAAAAATGGGCAAATCGGAAGAAATCGATAAAAGGTTTATTCTGAAAAACTATGAATTCTTAAAAAGCTTCGAAATCAGCGACACATTGGCTGCGTTCAGCAGAGAAAACAGCTTTGCAACTGTTGTGAGATTTTTCAACATTGGCCCTTGCCTTCAGTACTTCATGGATCTAAATGTATAAACCAATCATATTAAAGAATTTTACAACAGTTGCAAAGCCACTTTTTCTGCTGAACGCAGCCATTAGTTTCATGTTTCAATTATAATTATTATCAATTATAATAATTATTTTCAAATCTGTTTTAATTTCCTATTTATTAAGTAAATAATACATTAAAAAGCTGCATTTCTTTTTTTCAAAACCAAGATTAATGATAAAAGTATTATTTATAGAATAACACAAATATTAGCATATTTAATATATAATTACGAAATTATTAAAATTCTTTATTGCGAATAAAATGAGTTATTCAGGAAATTGCAACTATGCAATTTTTATTCGTTCCATTTAATCGGTAGATTAATCGTTTAAATAATACGTCATTGCTTCGTTTAATTTTATTTAATTCTTTAAACGGTGTCAATATTTAAAATATGGAGAAAATAACATGAAAAATTTTTTAGTTTGATTTTTATAAAGAATACTATTCTATTTCATTTTATTCCATTTTATTCACGAGATCGAGTTTCTTTCGATTCACCCATTTTTTCCCCTGGGAAGAAAACACGGAGGAACCGTGCGCGTCCTTTTTCGTCCTGCGTAAGACTAGATGATATTACGCGAGAACGATCCTCTCGCGCGCATACTCGTCCCATGAGAGTCTCGACTCAGGATCTTACGTTTTTCGATTCACACAAGAGGAATCGAAAATATCCGTAACATTATTTCTTGGCGAGCCGAACCAATGCTCAATACGACGCTGCTGTTGGTCTGAAGTCGATAATAAAGAAAAAGGTGACGACCCACGATTTTCTTTACCTATACCGTCTGTACCTATAGGCCTGTAACGTGTATATGCAGCGGAGTGTAAGGGAAAAATAATAATAAAAAAGAGAAAAGCAGAAGCAACAACAAGGATACACACTTTTTATATGCATGATTTATAAGTTTTAATTTTTAATATTAAAGGAGATATATATACCACATGTTGTATGTGTGAATGAATTATTGGTTATTTAAATTGATGTTTTGAAATATCAAACCTGGGCTTCTCATTTTTCTATAACTATTTCCCCACCTTTGCAGCATATTTTACGTTCTGCCTCTCTATTATGACAATGTACATATATATATATTTTTTCTTAATTCATCCACGAACAATTACGGTCTAAAACGAAACTGAAAATCTTTAGGTTTTGAAAAAACAGTTTTCTGTTTAACATTATTGAAATTTAACAATATAAAACGAATAAAAGCACAAAATACATAATATATTTTTAAAATATGAAATTGTTATCATTGGACATGAATGTGCATACCGTGCATACATTAAATTTAAAAACATTAAATTCGTTAATATATCTGCAAAAATGATTTGGAGTCTGAGAAAGCGTAAATAAATAAAAAAGAAATAAACGTTTAATTATTACATTATTAATATTGTTATTATCTTTATCAACTTTTTATTATTACCATTCTGCGTTACTGATTTCTCGCTCTTTTTGAAAAATTCGCACGTTCTCAGACGGCGTCGCATGCGATGCTAATTTCATACGATCACAGTTGTCAAGTCGCGATGTCCCGATCACGTCGCCAACGTCGGAAACGCGACTCCTGGACTCGAGACATTCGAAATTCCGCGAAATCGCTAAATTCCCACAAATGGCCGATGCGCTGAAGACATGGCTGCGTACGAGACTGGGTGTGATTATGGATCTCACGCCGGAGGCGTTCAGCCGCTACACGAGAGACGGCTCCCTGCTGGCCCACATCCTACACAGCTACGATATAATCAGTAGCAATCAACTGAGCACCATTCTTTGCACACGAGATCCTGCCTTGTGCAGGGTGAACTTGAAAACCCTAGGAATCTGGCTGAAGCTCATTAACGTCACGCTGAACGACGAGTGCATCGACAAGATTTCTAAAGTACCGCTTGCAGAGGCAGTACAATAGGGAGATTTGAAAAATTAAACTGGCTAGGGAAAAGAATAAAATCAAAAAATTTTTAATTTCAATTTTCAGTTTTCTAAAAAATAAACATTTATTATTCAAAAGAATTGTATTATCAGATATCGTTGATTTAGAAACAAATATCATTTTTACTAATTTATATACATATATCAACTTCTATCAATTTACATACTTCTTTATAAAGATACTAGACACCATAGGTGATTTGAGGTAATTTGCATAAGAACGACGCTTTAGGGTAAAGGTGCTGCGTCTCTCCAGCTCTTCTACAAGGTTTATCTGAGCCTCGAGGGCAAGGACCGATTGCATTTTATCGCTCTTCAGAAAGAGCGAAGGTACATGCCCAGTAGATTCATAGTTTCCACAGTGTCCGAGCATCCAGTTCCTTATCTACCAACCGAACATCCTCTTTCGACGCCGTTAATCGAGGCAGCCGATACCGTGCTCTGGCACAGAAACAAGTTTTGGGCAATCACGGAAGCCTGCAGACGGGAACGAGAGCGATTTGAGTCACTCATGGAGTATCCTGTGATACAGCCGATGGAGTACTTCGTCCCGGAAGAGTTGCCGGACAAGAAGCAGAAGGAGAGCGAAAGACTGGAAGACAAATTCACTTTCAAGCGTCCGGCTCGCAAGACGAAGAAGAGATACCAAGTGGTCGAGTGTTGCCCCTCGAAGAGTATCTTGGACGTGTCCTGCATCGAGGATCCCGCAGCTGCCGCGGAATATGTTGGCTCCTTGAAAAAGCGCAGCAAAAAAACGGCTAAATCTGAAGAATTGAAGCTGAAGACGCAGACAACGATGATGGCGGAGGCTTGGGAACGATTGCTGAGGAAACAGGACAGATCCTTCGACGAAGCTCTCGGCAGAAAAGTGCTGGGCCATTCGCGTTACGAGAAACAAATGTTGCGGAAGCTGTGCGAGGTGCGAGACTTGAGAAACAGAATTGTGGAGAATCGTAGGATAGTCGATGCCATATTGCTGAAGGTTAGAGAAAGCGAACGGCGATTGAAGGAAGATCGTCGTGAAGAAGCGATAAAGGAAGAGAGAGAAAAGGTGGAAATGGAGGTCTGTAGAATGCGCGAGCTTCGTCGAAGAATTCGCGAGGAAAAGGTGAGTGGGTGACAATATTTTATTATGCCCTAGGACAAAATCTATTCTGCTAAGAATGGAAAGAAAAATGTAAGTGGTGGTTACACGAAATAATTCTAAAATATTGACAATATGATATTAAGTGAAATTAAACAGGATAGAATAGAAAAATATTGAATTTGATATGCAAGGAAGAAAAAAAAACAACTGAAAAAGAATTTATACAAAAGTAAAAGAGAAACGATATTATATATAAATTAAATAATTTTAAACATTGAAAAAAATAGTTATACCATATGTACATATATGTTGAATTTAATAGCGCATAAATAAGAGAGATTATGATAAATTTTAATTATTAAATATATGTACATGAAAAATTATTAATATTTTTTTATATGGAAAAGGTAAATGTAAAGTGTTTACACTTTAAAGGTGCGCAAGATGAAAGAAAAACATCAAAGCATCTGTTCAGAAATTATTAACGATCTCGCGGACATCTCGGTGAAAATTGCTGTTTATCGTCAAGAAAATGGTAATCATATTCCAAATTGCATTTGGAACGAATGGAAAATGTTATTTCTAAAGAACCAACCGATATTTGAACCTATGGACCACTTTGATGATGTTGAAGAAATAGAAGATGTAGAAAAAATAAAAAAAGATATGAAGGTGAGTGAAAATGATGAGGTAATGGTGAAGAAGAAATACGAGGCAAGAAAAAATAGCGGAGAAGAAATAAAAAATGAAGAGGGAATAAAGATTGGAAAGGAATTAAAAGCTGAGGAAAAGCAGAGGCTATTTCAGCTGGGACTGGAACGTCAACAATCTCTGGCTGATGCAGACTTTGAGAGTTATCGGGACCTAAGTTCGCCCTGGGATCAATTCGTGCCGAAGAGAGAAGCGGGAGTCGAGGAAGTTTATAGATTAGGCCGCACTGTGCTTGGTTACATTGTTCACCGCTTGTTGGAGATCTTGTATCCTTATCCGGCCGAAGTGATGGGCTGTCCAGTGCCTAGAGTAAAGGTCGCGGCCATTGTCTTAGGTGTAACAAATGCAACCTCGTACGAACAGTTGCGAGGGTTGCTGAAGAATACCGAAATTCGTTTGCTGACGATGGAAGACGCGATCAATCATTGTCTGGAGAGCTACAAGCGGGAAATGCGCGACGTGGAGTACATCGATCTGAACATCATCTCGGCGACGGCGAGAGACATCAAGAGATTGGACGCTAAGAACAAGATGGACGACTTGGGGGAGCGTCACCTAAAGAAAATTGAACGATCAGCGAAGTTAGTAACGTCCCTGCAGAGAGCAGCCGAGGAGAAACAAACTCAAACGCCTAAACACATACCTTACGACGATATGGACCCGATTTTAAGCGATGCTGCATGCATAGGTAAAGGAACTTTAGAACAGAGATTTAAATCAATTATTAATAACATAAATCAAATAATTTTGTTATAGAAAATTAATCTCGAAATCGTGATTTACGATGCCATTTTCAGCGAATAACATGTATATAGAAACAGTTTGTTAGAGATCAAGTAGTACTATATTTAGAGATTTATTTTTTAATAATAGAGACATACCTAATTAGACATTAGAATTTAAAAAATCTATTCGCCGAGGATATTTGTTTATTTTTGATCGCGGAAATAGCAATGACTGCTATTTGATTGCTATCTGCAATATTTAGGCAAATGGACTTACGAGTTTCTCACGTTGGGTCAACCGATTTCGAACGAGTTGAATACGAAGATACTGATCGAATACTTAAAAGGAATCGGAGACGTCGAAGGATGGATATTAATAAATTATCCGAATACATATGAGCAGATGGCGATGTTGGAGAAAGCGCTGACAGGACGCGAGATACCTGCCGAACCCGTCAATCTTACTGATATCGAAGTTGAAGACATTGATCCTCTGTCACCTAGAATCGTGTTTGAAAGTGACGAGGTCGACATATTCGCGATAAGCAGGCGCGTTCGATCAATTCATGTTGAAATAATTTTATGATTTTATAAGTAATATTGATTCCGAAAAGATATTTAATATTATATTAATGTTATTTATATAAAATGTTTCCGTGTTAAGCCGCTTAAAACTTAAAATATATGAATCATTAGGTTTTTATTATATTAAAATATATGAATTTAGAACTTTAAAACAAACAAAATTTTTTTCTAAAAAAAATTGCTCATAAATGCTTTGTTTAAAAGATATTGACTTTTTAAGTTATTGGACTGTATAGGAATGAATAATGTCGAAATATTTTTTGATTAAAAAAAAATACCTAAAATAATCTCTCTTTAATATGTAATCTCGAAATATTGATTATATATGTGAACAAAATTTTTAGAGGAAAATTTTGTTTGTTTTGAGGTCCTATAAATTCATATTTTAAGTTTGGCGGCTTAACTCGCGAACATTCTGTATATTCAGATTTATTTATTATTTATAAATTTTATTTTATATAATAGCGTATTGGAGAGTTAATTCAACTTTGCTCACTGTTTTTGAATCTTGATTTAAAGCTAATTTTTAATTATAATTTAATGATAATTAATTGTTTTGCAATATGAATGTTCTAAAAGTTAATGTAATTTTAACAGGCATTCTAAATTATTGCCGAACCCAATTTCCAAAGCAAAAGATTATAGTACTCCGTCTACAACGTTCATGACAATGTATATCAAGGCAGTGCCAAAGCCGAAGGCAATAGATAGTCAAGAACAGCCTTGTATACCTCTGCCCGACGATGCTACCTCGATGGACGGATATTACGCTAATCAAAATATCGCATATGGATTCTTTTACAATGTTTTCGATCTTCCAACCTTGAAACAATTGGTCAAACTTATCATGGATCATTTTCACGAAAGGAAATCATTCTTGGAACTTTCAGAAAAGATTCTACAGACATATCACGACGAGCAAAAGTGTCTTATTGATTCAAAAGCGGCAGTTATTAAACGCTTGATACCAAAATCCAAATGGAAACACGAAGAACACGAAGAGAAGAAAGATATCAAAGTTGAAAGTCACGATTTACAACCGGAAGCTCAAACGCAGCTAACAAACGATTATGCTAAACCTGGAGAAAGCAGCTGGCAATGGCTAGATTTCTTTCAGCCTCCAGCTTTACTCGAAATTTTGGCTACACTTTGGGAAAACGTTGAGCAGGCATACATTGAACATTTAAAGGAGATTTTTTTCTTGAAGAGAATGCATATATCAGCCATCATGCCCTACAAAAATCTCGTTTTCAGGAATTTGATGAAGTTCGTCGATCGACCTGACAAACGGCAGATCTTGTTGCAAGATTTTCATCGCGCTTTTAATGAAATTGATAAAGATCTTAGGGAAGATTTGGATATGAAATGCGAATTGCATTGCCGGGTAAACACAGAAGTTTTAAATAAAACAAATATAAATATATTAAAGATTAATTAATTTTTTATTCTTGATAAAACTACTTTGCCAGTATTCCTTCATTACTATCAAGACATATATTAATCCGATTTAACTAAATTGTAATTAGACATAATGATGTAGTAAAAAAGGAAGAAAAGACAGGCCTTAGAATTTGCTATTATAATCTTAAGTTTTTATTTGCATTAATTAATTCTAATTTACCTTTGATATAAAATCTTCTTCCTTTGATAAATAACCAAAGGTACTTGTATTAATCTTTTCGTTGTTAATCTCAAAATTTCCGCGCTAGGTCGACGACTTTCGAACGGAGTTATGGGAGTTGTGCGACGCGCGAAGATACGAGGCTGAAGAAGAGAGAAGACGCACGCTGTGCAATCAGTGGATCTTGATGAAGGCCCTGGTTCTCGTCAATGTGTATATCGGAATCTTGCAAACCGAAATTGACAGATTCGTCGACACTATGCAGCTCCTTCAGGATTATTACACCTCCATGTTGCAGAAACCACTGCAAGAATCGCCGTTCTCCAAAATCGTTCTCGACACTTTCGAGTTGGAGGACGTTCTTCAGGAGACCTCACTGGAAGATAAAGAGCGAATGGTGTCAGAGACGAAGACTGAATCGAGTGCTGAAGCTTCCGCTCTAGTCGTAGATAAGAGTCAACTCAAGACCGAGCTCGAAACTTTGTTAATCGACGTATCGAAGAGCTTTGATCCCGATCAAAGCACCGTTTACATTATTATTAAAGATAATGTTCGACAAGTGCGAGATCTCGTTGATTCAGTTTCGTCCGTGATGTTGGAGATGTTGAAGAAAGAGGAAAAAGCCGTGATTGCAAAAATCGAAATTAAAGGCAAAGGAAACGCTTCGTTCGATACGACGAGGCCGGCGGGAAGAAATCGTGATCTAGTCGAGGAATGGCGATACGCTGTTCTGTACGAGATCGGCCGTATACGTCAGAGATTGGACGTGCTAAACGCGGCTGCTCGAGCAGACGTGACCTTTCTTCTGGATACTATGAGACAGACCTTCCATCGCGTTTACGATCGTATTGTTGAAAGGTGATTTTATAGAATTATAATGTTATTCTTTTATTAAGCAAATTAATGAGACCGCAAAATTTGCACGAATACCGTAAATTGCTTTCGTGGAAATATTCGATATAGAAAGCGTGAATTGTTTTATTAAAATTAATTATCTGCTCGAGCAAATTTAAAATTTGAAAAGCTTAATGCTTTATTTTTATTGCAGAGTAATTTAATTCATTTAATTCATTTTTTAATATTTTAAATGAAAAGCAACTCTTTAATAATTAATCTTTCTATAAAAACATTACGCAAAGTTTACTATATTTTATAAATGGCAATATTATTTGGGTAAAAAAATTATTTATATAATTGTTTCTAATTAATATTAATATTATATATCCAAATAATTACCCTTTAGAAGTTAGATATGATACATGTATCATACTCTATTTTTAGATACAAACGTGAAATCGAGAGTATCAACGAAATGGCGAACGTCTTTTGCGTCGCCATCGAGGAAAAGAGACCGATTCAGCAGGAACTAGTATTAGACGATGATCAATTTGTCGTAAGACCGAACATCTTAATGTTTCCCGAAGCTCACGAACTCGCTGTCCCGATTAAGGAAGCACTTTCACCTCTGCGATTCCGAATAGTTCAACTCGGCCGGTTGACAGACATTTTCCAACGAATCGCCCCGCGCGGAATTGTGAGCGAACGCGTCCTAATTTATGTCCTCCAGGATCTGGTAGCCTGCGGCGAGGAGGACTGTTATCCGCCCTTCGTGCCGTGCGCCTGGCGACAACTGCGACCTCCGGATATCGAAATACTAATCGAAAGACTGTTCGGCGCCGCCGAGTACATCGAGTGGCGAGAATTTATCCTGTACGCGATGGATTTGCCTGTGCCGTCGCACGAGGACATTCTGAAGGCGCGGGCAGCCTTCAGGATGCATGATCCTGAATCGAGGGAGGTGGTCACATGCGAGCAATTCCATTCGACAGCCTTATGGTTTCTCGAAATCTCCACCCTTTACAAGAGTCTCACAGATGAGAAACTTGATCACAGCAATTCAGATACGATAAAAAATATAATGTTGCGCCAGGAGGCACAATTAGGCGAGCGTGTTTCGAGCTTGAAAAGCGATTTCATAGAAAGGAGCGAGGATGAGTCTAGGTATGTACATGGAAAGCGCACTGAAAAAAAATGAATATATATGGATTTGTGAAGTTAAAAGAGGATTGAGTCCGTTCAAAAACGATTCTTTAAAACGTTCTTTATTAAAAATTTTAATTTGATTTGAAGTTTATTTTAATTTTTCATTCGTGAACGATTTTCCATTTGATTAATTACTTTCAATTGATCGTCTATTTAATTAAATACTTTTTTTGATTAAAATTTTTACAATGTTTCTTTTAAATAAATCCTTATGCTTTCTTTTTTTTTCAACCAATTTTTCGATTAAATTTTCGGCAGCACAATATTGAGGCTGATGCTGGCAAAGGAACTTCTCTGCCGCATGTATCTGGTAAATCCGGACTCGGTTCATTATACCGCCATGCTGCTGGCCTTTTGTAAGGATGAGAATCCTAGCGAAGGTCTGGGAAAAGCGTTTACCCTTGCCATGGGTGCTAAAGTTTGTACTGATGTAGTAAAAGGTGAGAGATACGTCGAACAACTTGTCAAACAGAAGCGCTGTGCTAAGGAATTGAAATTGACCCGGAATTATCTTAGAAAGGAAGCCAATGAGGTAACTCCAAGTTCGCTAATATTGATTTACGCAATCGCCGTCATTTGAAATCGACGTATGTTTGAAATAAATCAATATAGAGCGTGTGTGTGTGTGTGTGTGTGTGTG